CTACTGAATATATCCAGAATCTGTCTTATACTTACCATCTCTACGGCTACTCCCTTAGTCTAATCAACCTTCACCTCACACCTACATTAGCTTTCTAGCAGGTTCCCTCTCTCCCTCTCTTCTCCTTTATCCTACTCTCAGTACAGCAGTCAGAAGTCTCCTTTTACAACCTAAGCCAGGCCATGTCACTTCTGTTTAAAATCATCCAGTTAGTCCCTATCTCATTCAGAAGAAAACCCCAAGTCTTTGCAACCCAAGTCTTGGTCTACTAGGCCATACATGAAATGTCCTTGCTCCTCCTGACCTCACCTTCTATTATTTGCTTGTAGTCACTCTATTCTAGCCACGCTACCCTCTCTGCTATTTCTCAAGCTTGGTAGGTACACTTCCAATTGCTTTTGTTCTATCTGTTCCTTTTGCATAAAATGCTCTTTCCCAGATATCTGTTTGGCTATCTTGTACACTTCCACGTCTTTGTTCAAATCTCACCTTCTCAAAGAAAGCCTTCCCTGACCACCCTGTTAAATCTTGTCCCAAAAACTGCCCCACTCACCACCAGCCATTTCTCATCTGAAGTTTGCGCTCAACTACTGACCTAAAGGCTGGTGGTTCAAATCCACCCAATGGCAGTGGATGAAAGTCCTGGCAATCTGCTTTCATAAGATTACAGTCAAGAAAACCCTATGGATCACAGTTTTACTCTGTAACACATGGGGTTGCCATAAGTTGGAACCAACTGAATGGAAACAGACTTTCAATGGCACCTTGTCCTGCTTTTTTTTTTTTTTCCTCTTTTAATTCCACTGTAATTTAACCTCTAGTTGGTTTCTGTCACTTAAAATAGAAAGGATCTGATTAATACTTTGATTTATGCCAGTCTGGCAAATGTTAAAAATAAAAGTTAATGATTAAAAGAACCTCTGTTTGTATCTATGTCTCCTAAAAATAGCATTAAAATATTCATAGCCATTTATCCACTGGTTATACTTCTGTCAGTTTTTCCTAGAGAATAACCTGAAATTCAGACAAAGGCCTACGCATAAAGAAGTCCATTGACACACTTCATAATAATTAAATACTAGAAATGAACTAAATATTTAAATTTTCACAATGTAGTTCATAGACCTCTAGGGCACTTGATACCATTCAGGGGGTTTGCAAGAAGAAAACTATTTTCTTTATAATAAAAAAACCAAACAAACAAACAAACAAAAAAAAAACCATTGCCATCGAGTAGATTTCGACTCATAGCAACCCTACAGGACAGAGCAGAATGGTCCCATATGGTTTCCAAAGAGTGGCCTGTGGATTCGAACTGCTGATCTTTTGGTCAGCAGCTGCCATAGCTCTTTCACTACATTGACACTGGCAGAAGCAGTGGTGGGTAAGACTACTGGGGCCTTAACCTAAAGCATGGTAGTGGCATCAAAATGTACTAGGAATCATTGGATTGGTTACAAACACAGTTTAAAACCAAACCAAACAAAGCTAGTTTCATTTAAGGATATCCTTGATGAAGCAATGTAAATAATAATTTTATTAAATCTCCACCCTTGAGAGTTCATTCTACGTTCTGTGTTACAGAATGGGAAGAACACACAAAACATTTCTGCTGCCTACTGAGCGTGACGGTTGTCTCAGAGAAAGGTGTTCATGCACTTATTTGAGTTGCAAGGTGAACTAGCTGCTGGCAATTCCATTATTACTTGAAAAAATGGCTGCCTACAAACTGTAGTTATTTAGACTTGTTATTTGGGAGACATTTCCTTCAAAGAGATAGAAGTGAGCCTGCCACTCAAAGGATAACAACTGATAGCCTCTATTGCTGATAATAAATTTCAGAATTTCTAGCAAAAAATAGAATTCTGGAAAACTTGACTGTGAGGCTTGGAGCTTGACAGCTTCCTGATGCTTACAGACTTTTTTTTTGATACAACCAACAGTGATATTAACAAATGCAATTTTTAAAATATTGTATAATAAATTGTGTCAACATTTGGAAGATCTGTACAACTCAGTGAACTAAAAAATGTTCAAAGGATCAATGTGGGTAAAATGCCCACTAAAAGTCATGATAGGCCCATCAAGTTTCAAGTAGAGGAGCACAAAACGTTCATTGATATGGTTTCTGAGCCTCCATTGCAACCAACCTTTAAGACATGGCCATGCTTTTATTCTCTGCATAGTACCGAATAGTATAAGATACATTCTGGCTTATTCACTTGTTTTATTTGTCTCTCCTTACTGGAATGAGAGTTTCATGAGGAAAGAACTTTGTCTATCTTCTTCATCATTGTACTCCTCAGAGCTTAGAGTAGTGCACAGCATGGTGTAGATACTTCATAAATGACGATCGATAAAACACACACGATCACAAGGTGAAACATTACTCAGCTAGTTAAGTCTGGTTAGCCAAAAATTTCTAATGATTTCAGAAAAATTTTAAGGTATATGATCATTAAAAACAATTCAAAATTATTTGTGTACATACATATCTATCATACAATACCTAATACAAATACAACAAACTACATATTTTATGTGTGTGTAGTTGTATAGGTGTTTCTAAAAGGGTAAAACTAACAGGGTTTGTGGAAAAATAAGACCATCAAATATCTATGAAATTTTGTAACCAGGTGCTACAAGATAATTACAGGTACCTGGTGGCGTAGTGGTTAACAGCTACGTCTGCTAACCAAAAGGTCGGCACTTCGAATCCACCAGGCGCTCCTTGGAAACTCTATGGGGCACTTCTACTCTCACCTAAAGGGTCGCTATGAATCAGAATTGACTCGATGGCAATGGGTTTGGTTTTGGGTTTGGGGAAATAACTTGGGCAGCTCAGGCAGGCAACTCAGTGTGGCTGGAGGCTGCCTCCCTGGGTTTTTGAGATTGTTTTGTAACATACTAGAGCTATTTTCATGACCTACTTTATCTAGGTTATTTACATAATTGAAAATATCATTTCCTATTCAGTGGAAGAAACTGACTTGGGCAATGGAAGAAATGGGTTTCCCTCAGGGTCTACCACTAAAAGCCTTGCATCCTTGGGTGGGTCTTTTCACTGTATTGGTCTTGACTGGTAAGGAGATTTCGGGTTGAGTTACATGATCCCCAAAGGTTATCCTGATGGTTAGAATCCATTAATAGTTCAGGTCATGAATTTTTTTTTTTTTTTATTGTTGTGCTTTAAGTGAAAGTTTACAATTCAAGTTAGTCTCTCATACAAAAATTTATACATACATTGTTATGTGACCCTACTTGCTCTCCACATACTATGACAGCACATTCCTCCTTTCCACCCCGGATTTCTCATGTCCATTCAACCAGCTCCTGACCCTCTCTGCCTTCTCATCTCTCCTCCGGACAGGAGCTGCCCATTTAGTTTCATGTATCTACTTGAGCTAAGAAGCATGCTCTTCACGAGTATCATTTTATGTCCCATAGTCCAGTCTAATCTTTGTCTGAAGGGTTGGCCTCAGGAATGGTTTTAGTGCTGAGTAGACAGACAGTCCGGGGGCCATGCTTTCTGAGGTTCCTCCAGTCTCAGTCAGACCATTAAGTCTGGTCTCTTGACTAGAATTTGAGTTCTGCACCCCACTTTTCTCCCACTCCATCAGGGACTCTCTGTTGTGTTCCCTGTCAGCAGTCATTGGTGGTAGCTGGGCACCATCTAGTTCTTCTGGTCTCAGGCTGATGAACTCTCTGATTTATGTGGCCCTTTCTGTCTCTTGGGCTAATACTTTCCTTGTGTCTATGGTGTTCTTTATTCTCTTTTACTCCAGGTGGGTTGGGACCAACTGATGCATCTTAGATGGCCGCTCATTAGCTTTTAAGACCCCAGACGCCACTCACCAAAGTGGGATGCAGAACCTTCTTAATAAACTTTATTATGCCTATTGTCAGGTCATGAAATTTAAGAGTCAGGAAAATTATCTGTGGGGTCCTTTAAACATATGATTGCTACTTTGTTATTCCGACCTACTCATCTACTGAAGATGAGGAGTTTGTTTGAAGTCATCTTCCATTACAAAAAAAAGTCTTCCACTTGGGTTCTAAGAGTACTCACTGTTAGGAGTTTTTAGGAAAAGAAAGATGTATTTTTTTGTTTGTTTGTTTTTTAATTTTACTTATTTTGTTGTTGCTGTTGATAATATACACAGCAAAATATACAACAATTCAACGGCTCTACATGTACAATTCAGTGGCACTGATTATATTCTTTGAGTTGTGCAACTATTCTCACCCTCTTTTCTGAGTTGTTCCTCTCCGCCTTAACATGAACTCACTGCCCCCTAAGGTTCCTATCTAATCTTTTGAGTTGCTGTTGTCAATTTGATACTATATAGATAGTTCTTAAAAGAGCATAATGCTCAAGGCAAACATTTTTTATTAGTTAAGCTAAGCTATTGTTTGGTTTTACAAAGACTTCAGGAGATATTTTTGGTTTAAGGTTTAAAGATCAAGATAAATGTTTTTTTAAAAACAAAAATCTGATAACTAAATAACCTACCCAGTGATGTACTTCTTTTATTTTCCCCTGTGGTAATGTTAAATACACATATCCTCTGGGGAGCCAAGCCAAAAATTAACATGAAAGGTAGATCACCAGGCCTTTCTTCTTTGTCTTAGTCTGGAAGCTCTGCTGAAATCTGACTTCCATGGGTGTCTTGTGAAGATCCACTAGTAAGGGGAATAGAGATTCTAATGTACTCCATCATTCTTCAGTCTTTATAACTATCCTTCTCTAAACATGAAGAGTCTCAGTGATTACAGCAATCCTAATCTTTGGTCTAGAAAGAAAGGTCTGGCAATCTACTTCCAAAACATCAGCCAATGAAAACCCTATGGATCACAATGGTCCTATCCCATTGAGCATGGGGTGGCCGTGAGTCGGGGGCCAGCTCAGTGGCAGCTAACAACAATCTCTGGCTTGATGAAAACATTTGGGCTAGGTATGACGAGTTGTGTGGGGGCGGGGAGGAATATTACAGCGTTACCTTTCACTGTCACATGAACACTCTGGCTTGTGGAGAGTTGCGGTTGAACCAGGACATTGCACGTGTACTCCCCCTCATCTACTTCCTTTTGCACATCCGAGAGTTTTAGAGTTCCATTGTTCTCAAATGCCACTTGGCGGTGGTTAAAAGGAAGCAGATTAGAGTTCTTGTACCATTTGATGGAGTAATATGGATAGCCAATCACCCGACAGTGAATGTATGTATCCCGTCCTGCTATTGCTGTGATATTTTTCATTGGTCGAATGCTTGCAGGACCTGGAGAGACATAAAGAAACTCTTGAAAATAATTTCAGGGTACACTTAATGCGGGAAAATTGGTACACTTTTCCTCGAGTTGAAAATGCACATTATTTGCATGTAAGGACATCTTGCCAATTAAAAAGAAAATTCTGCATTGGCATTTCTACTAAGATTTCTTTTTTTAAGTTTTAGCACTTTCAAAGAAATTGAAAACAGTACATCACTAACCAACTACTTTCATTAAAATGTTTTGAATTACAAGATAAAAGACAATTTAGTCAATAAAACGTGTTAACTAGTCTACACTGAACAATTATGCTCTTTATGTGAAAACGCTGGCAGCAATTAACTGTTCAACGCTCTCTATAAACTATATTATGAAGATGGAGTTTATGCCATGTTGCACTATGAATGTAAGTTAAAATACCACGTACGTGAAAGTTTACCACGGATGTAGTAAAACAGAAGAGGAGAACGGAAGGGGCATGCAGAGCATAAACCAGGAAAGAAAAGATCAAGTGGACAAATCTAAGAGTTAAAAAAAGACAACAAGCTGACTAAAAAAACCGAAACACCATTTCCAACATTAACCCCAGTCAGTGCCATTCCAGAGTCGGAAGGAAAGCGTAGGAAATGGGAAGCAACAGGTCATCCGTTCTGGCATTCCAAGACTCAGCTCGGTACATGCAGAAACCTCCTTCTCCACTACAATGAGTCATGTGTGTTTTTTTGAGGAGCTGATTTGACAAGCACCTCTTACGTTTATTCGAGCCTGGTACAGGACGACTCCGGCCGAGTTGTTGGCAGTGCAGCGGTAGACTCCCCCATCCCGGACCTGCGAGCTGGAGATGTTCAGGTAGCTGACCACGTTGCCCTCCGACGTGATCATCTGGCTGATGCGATGACTTCCGCCCTTGAGAATTGGGTCGTCGTCCAGGGTCCACGTGATCGTGGGCAACGGGGTTCCCTTCACGTTGCACATGAGGGAAACCGGCTCTGCTGGGCTCACCACTTTTTCACTAAAGGCAGAAATAATTTTGGGAGTTCCATCTGCAGGAAGACAAATTATGGAAGGAAGTGGCACATACAAATCACTAAATAACTTCAAAGTAAATTTATTTAACGATTAGCAGATAGATGCAGCGACTGTTCAGCACCACAAAAAACCTGTCTAGTTTTATCAGTGGAGCTACATCCCACGAGAATAACAAGATTTCACTATTTTCAAAATAGTAAACACAGTATCATCAAGCTTTAATAAATCACTTCTATATTTCCAATTGGCATAATAAGAAAACAATGGTGTAACCCAGATGGTCATGTTAAACAGTGTCAGCTCCCAAGAAGTCTACAATTCCAAACAGGCATGTCCCCATCCAAAGTTATAAATATACAAGAAATTCATACACCAAAGTCACTTCAGCTTTTCTGCTTCCTCTTCATGTTAATTAATTTAGGGATTGCTCATGAAGGAATTATTTAGAGGAATAAAGCAAATAACTGAGAGACTGATGATCTCATCTTCCTAATACTTTATAGTTTTAATGACAAATGGAAAGTGCACATAAATTTCCATGAAGGCTCTGAGAATGGGTAAAACAAGCTTTGACCCTTCCAGCGTGGACTATGTATCTCTATAGTATCCTTAGCAGCATGATCATATGATTTATCGTCCAAGCTGGGATACTAATGTCAGAAGAACAGGCACAGCCCAGAACTATCCCAGGCAAAGTAGATCTTAATCTCAGACAGTTTTCCACAGGAAATTCTAACATGCTCGACGAAGATCAAACTATCGTTTTCTGTTATTTTTCTATCACTTATATGTACTCTCTTTTATTATATGGTAGTAACCACAAATACATTTCTCTTTTCATGGTTGTCCATGGAAAAAAAAAGAGATATATTAATGTCCTATAGGGTTGCTATGAGTAGGAATCAACGCAATGGCAACGGGTTACACATATTTTAAAAAATGTATGAAAGAAGAAAAAAAATGTATGAAAGAAGAAGAAAAATGTATCAATAGGCCTACTGGCCTCAGGCATACAAATTAACACTATGACTGTTTTTCTAGATGTAAGTGAGTCGTTGTGACATAACTAATCACATTCGACAGGATTTCTGAGTCTGGCAATAAGCCTTGTCTGGAGGGAACTTTTTTTTTTTTCAATACAACCAAATAGCTGATAGGTTTTAAATACAGGCATCTGGGTGTACCTGGAAATGGCAAGGATTCTTTCTGCATCAATTTTTTAATTTTTTTTTTATTGTACTTTAGATGAAGGTTTACAGAACAAATTATTTTCTCACTGAACAATTACTACATATATTGTTTTGTGACATTGGTTGCCAACCCCACAACATATCAACACTCTCCCCTCCTCGACCTTGGGTTCCCCATTACCAGCTTTCCTGTCGGAGGGGACATTTTTTGTTTTTGTTTTGTTTTGTTTAAAAAAAAGGTTTTTGTGCTCTATTAAAGTGTTTGTCCCCTAAAGAAACATAATGACTAACAGATTTTTTTTTTAGTTTTAAAATTTTTATTACAAAAGTAATACACATTTATTGTTTAAAAAATTGGAAATAGATAAGCAAAAGGATTGGGGGAGGCGACAACAAAACTGAGGAAAACCCAAAACCAAACTCATTGCTGTCAAGTCAATTCTAACTCACAGTGACCCTACAGGACAGAGTAGAACTGCCCCATAGGGTTTCCAAGGAGCAGTTGGTGGATTTGAACTCCCAACGTTTTGGTTAGCAGCTGGACTCTTAACTACTGCACCACCAGGGTTCCACAAAACTGAGAAGAGCCCCCATCCTGAGGAGAGAGTCACTCATCACACAAAATCTTTAGGCCTGTCTCTGGGGACAGTTAGACCTGCTGCACAAGGCTCTCGTGATGGTGGTGCTTCCATACAGCCCTCTACCTATTTCTCATTCCAAAATTCCTGAAGGTTAGCTTCTTCATTCTGACTTTATAAAGATTATTTACATAATTAAAAACATCATTTCTCATATTCAGCTGAAGAAACTGACAAACTTTCAGGCAACTGGAGAATTCCCTTTAGCATATGTATTCCCAGATGCGTTCACAGGTAGTATATTCCGGTGTCTTTGGACTGCAAATATTTTTTTAATATCGAAGCTGAAAACACAACTTTATAAAATTAAAACGAAAGGCTTGTGCTTTTCCCTTTAAAACACTGCAGACATTGCTTCATCATGTTCTACCTTAGCTTTACACAGAAGTTAGACGTCATTCTGGTTGTTAAACTTTGCCCATAACCAATCATTGGTGCTTGGGAGTGTTGAGGTTATTTTACTTGTCCTTATAAGTCAACATTTTTGCAGAATGTGTTTAACTGTAAGTGTCTCTGTACAGAGTTTTACACTAAGCACTGAAAACCCAAGTCTTCTGTTTGACATTGTTGTTAGTTGCCACGGAGCCTCATCTGACTCATGGTGACCCCATTATAATAAAATTGAAACCTGCCGGGTCCTGCGCCATCTTCTGATCGTTGGGCTTGAGTCCATCGTTGCAGCTATTGTGACGGTCTATCTCACTGAGTGTTCCCCTCACTGATCCTCTACTTCTCCAGTGATCCATCCCTCCTGATGATGTGTCAAAAGCAAGTGAGTTGAACTCTCTGACAATATTCTGTGATCGATACGGTTTTCAATGGCTAATTTTCAGTAGATCATCAGGCCTTTCTTCTTAGTCTGTCTTAGTCTGGAAGTTCTGCTGAAACCTGAGTTCCATGGGTGACCCTGCTGGTATTTGAAATACCAGTGGCATAGCTTCCAGCATCACAAGAACACACAAGCCACCACAGTATGACAAACTGATAAATGGGTGGTGGCTTATCTGTTCAGGAAAATTTTTTTTTTCCAGTTATAATGTTTTGTTGGTAAAATTTACATACAATGAATGCACAGATCTTAGGTGCACAAACAGGTTTTTGTTAAATATATACACCCATGTAATCACCAACACAATCAAGAACATTTCCATCACCTCGGAAAGTCCTCAAGGGCTCCTTCCAATCGATTTCGATTCCCCACCCATTTTGCACACACAATCACGGTTCTAATTTCTATCACCGTATATTACTTTTGCCTGTTCTTGATCTTCAAATAAATGGAATCATAGAGTATGTACTCTTTTATACATACACTTACTTATTTATATATATAATAATATTTTCATTATAGTAAAGTATACAGAAGACAACATTTGCCAATTCAACATTTTTCACAAGTAAAATTCAATAAAACCAATTACGTCAATCATCTTGTACAATTATCAGCAGGATATGTTGCCAAACCACTCTTTAGGAAGCACTGAGTTTTCATTTATGGGTTTGGACGTTTGTTTTTAACATTTTATTATGAAAAATTTCAAACATACCCAAACACACCCACACAAGTAGAGTGAGGACCCATCACAAACTTCAGCTCACGGAATTTCTTGACCTTTCTATGTCCATTTCCCCCTGCTCCCATTGGATCAGTGTCAAGCAAATACTAATCCATAAATAGTTCAGTATGTATCTCCAAAAGTTAGACTCTTGTTAAAAACATAATCACATTGCCATTTTTACATCTGAAAAACTTAACAATAAGTCCTGAAGAACATCAAATAGCTAATCAGTGTTAAAATTTACTCTGTTGTCTCAGAATTTTTGTTTTTACAAGTTTCTTTTTGGAATCTGTATTTGAACAGGTCCATGCAGTGCATATCTTTGATGTCTTTTAGGGTTTTGTAGCCTAAAGGTTTCTCTCTCTTCCCCTCCCTGCCCCTCCTTAAACTAACAACTAACATGTTGCTAGTACTATAGGTTTTCCCACTTTTTGGGTTTTGCTGGGTTCATTCTGTAGGGTTGCTTAACATTTCATTGTCCCCTAAATGTTCCATAAAATGGCAATTAGATTCAGATCCTTGATCAGATTCAGTGTGACTTAATTAGGCAAGAATACTTCATAGATAGTGGTGTGCACTTTCATCTCGAGCCACTTAATGTTTGGCAGTCCCTCTTTTTTGTGATGTTAAGATTGAGTAGTGGATTCAGATATTGTCACCCTCATCCATTTTGACTTTTCCCCTCAGGTTTTCACCTGAAGTTCTTTGTAGATATGTATAGTATTTTAGATGAAGTTTACAGGGCAAACTAGTTTCTTATTAAACAATTAATACACATATTGTTTTGTGAAATTGGTTGCCAACCACACGACATGTCAACACTCTCCCTTTCTCGGCCTTGGGTTCCCTATTACCAGCTTTCCTGTCCCCTCCTGCCTTCTTGTCCTTGCCCCTAGGCTGGTGTGCCCCTTTGGTCTCGTTTTGTTTTATGGGCCTGTCTAATCTTCCGCTGAAGGGTGAACCTCAGGAGTGACTTCATTACTGAGCTAAAAGGGTGTTCGGGAGCCATATTCTCAGGATTTCTCCAGTCTCTGTCAGACCAGTAAGTCTGGTCTTTTTTTTGTGTGTGTGTGAGTTAGAATTTTGTTCTACATTTTTCTCCAGTTCTGTCTGGGACCCTCTATTGTGATCCATGTCAGAGTAGTCGGTTGTGGTAGCTGCGCACCATCTAGTTGTGTTGGACTCAGTCTGGTGGAGGCCATGGTTCGTTGTTGTGGTCCATAGTCCTTTGGACTAATCCTTCCCTTGTGTCTTTGATATTCTTCATTCTTCCTTGCTCCAGATGGGGTGAAACCAGTGGGGTATAGTAGATGGAGCTCACAAGCTTTTAAGACCCCAGAAGCTACTTGCCAAAGCAGAATGTAGAACATTTTTTTAGTAACCTATGTTATGCCAGTTAAGCTAGATGTTCCCCTAGACCATGGTCCCCACAGCCCTCCACCCAGTAATTTGGTCCCTCAGGGAGTTTGGATGTGTCTGCGGAGCTTCAATGATCTTGCCTTGGACAAGTTGTGCTGGCTTCCCCAGTATTGTGTACTGTCTTACCCTTCACCAAAGTTACACTTATCTACTGTCTATTTACTGTTTATCTCTCTTACCTCCCCTCCTCGTAAGCATCAAAGATTGT